TGTTAGTTCTGTTCCTCTTGCCACCCTCCCCTCTAATGGTGTTTGAGTATCTTGCCACCCTCCCCTCTAATGGTGTTTGAAAACCTGCATCTCGATGCTGGTTTTCAGAGTTATTTCATGAGTTGGGAGAAAATATAAAAGCCTTTGAGAATCTGGCTTTTTTTATCCTAAGCATTTTTTAATACACTGCAGAGCAAAATGACATTTTTAAATGTACGGGAGAGCACAAAGCATCAAAGAGCTCATGGGTACAGCCTGTGACTTCCTGGAGCCCTGCATTCTTAACTGTCAGATTTTAACAAATACTTCTCTAGATAATTGCTTAATTACTGTATCTGTCAAGAAAAAGCCTTCACAGCCATCAAGTACTAAGTATAAAAATATGCTTTCATCCTGGAGTTTGAAAAATCATTCCTGAGATTTCAGCAAGACAGAAGCCCAGTGGCACATGGTCACTCTCAGATTTGTAAGGATAAAACTAGATGGAGAGCAAAGGATGCTGAGGTTAGGGGGAGCACATGGAAGAATTATATCGATACTTACCTGTAGGAGGTCCTTTTCACTCGAGGGTCTCTAAAATACTTTGCAAAATGGAAGTAGATAAGTAATATGATGTGAATTATACCAAGTTAGTAAAACAAAGAAATGAGGTTTTGGATCAGAAAGGCCAGGGCTTTTATGCAGCTCTGGTACTCCTGCTGAAACTTAGCAGAAACTACATAACCTCTCTGAGACAAAATTTGGTTTATCTCTACTATGGAAATGTCAGCATCTACCATCGAGTTGTTGAGAGGATTAAATAAAACAGTATATTATAAGTACTTAGGGGGTTCAAAAGTTATACCGTCAATCCCCGTTATTCATGGATTCCACAGTTTGCTAATCACCTACCCTCTAAACTTTATTTGTAACCCCAAAGTCAGTAGTCGGAGGTGACTTCATGGTTATTCACAGACATGCACGGGGGGGAAAGCTCGAGTCGCGTCATGCACACGTTCCCAGCTGAGGCTGAACGAGCAGCACTCTGCCTTCTCCTTCCAGCTCTCACACTGTAAACAAGTGTCCGTTTCATATTCTATTTAGTGCCATGTTTTTCAAATTATTGTGCTTATTGTTGGTGATTTCGCTTCTGTGCCCCCCCCCCCAGGTATAGTGCTGTAGTGCTGCCCAGTGTTCTTGAACACAGGAAGGCTGTGCTTTGCCTTATGGAGAAAATATATATGTTAGATAAGCTTTGTTCAGGCATGAGTTATAATATGAATGAATCAACAATCTATTAAACATAGTATCTTTAATCAGAAACACTAATATATAAAACAAAGTTATATATTAATCAGCTGGCAAAAATCTGGTGACCAGAGGCTCACATGGGCCTAACCCTTTGTCTCTCCTAGGAGCAATGGTGCAGGTATTTGCTAAGTCGGTGTTCATGGCAACTGTAAAGAACTTAGCTACCATGAATAATGAAAATCAGCTCTAGACTTATGGTTACCAGGGGGTAAGGGGGGGAGGGATAAATTGGAAGATTGGGATTGACATATACACACTACTATATATAAAATAGATAACTAATAAGGACCTACCTAATAGCACAGGGAACTTTACTCAATACTCTGTAATGGCCTATATGGGAAAAGAATCTAAAAAAGAGTGGATATATGTATTTGTATAACTGATTCATTTGCTGTACATCTGAAACTAACACAACATTGTAAATCAACTATACTCCAATAAAATTTTTTAAAAATTTGAAAAAAGAAAAGGAGAATCAGTTCTATTCAATTTAGTTCCATATTAGGTTGGTTAAATATTAGTGGCTCTAACAAATTAACTCCAAACTCTCCATGGCTTAACACAGAAGTTTATTTTTCATGAACGTTAAGTCTAATCAGGTGTTTGGCAGATGGCCTTAAAATGGAGAGTCAGGGACCCAGACTCATTACATCCATGGCTCTGCCCACAGTAGAACCTTTGCTTCCAGCCAGTGGATGGAGGAAGACAGAAAAGTAGTGGATGGAAAGTCTTTATGGGCCAGCCTGGAGACAGAGCACGTCACTTCTGTCTTCATTCTGTTGGCCAGAGCTTAGTCACATGGTCACACCTAACTGTAAAGGAGGCTGGAAAATATAATCTGTGTGCTGAGGGGTTACATGAATAGTTGTGCCACAATTCTCCTTAAAATTACTTCCTACAGTCATTTTTCTTTGGATAAATGGAAAAACCCTTAGGTAAGAGACATTTAAGTTTTGTAAGTTACTCTTCTGAACCCATTACCATTCTGCACCAAGGGAAGCAAGTCTGTCTGCTCTCATGTGTCTTAGTTAAAAGATAAAATCCTTATATAATGAGACCATATTTTCTCTTGTTCTGTTAATACTTCAGCCAACACTTTATTCCCTCCTGTAAATTTTTGACTGAAATTATTTTGCCACTGAATTAAGGATCATGTAAAGAATATACCCAACACCTTCTATGAAAGAAAGTGTTAAAATACAAACAACTGATCATTTATATTTGTTTCAAGTAATTTGTGGTCTCACATCCAACTTGCTTTAGCATTCAGCCAGTAAAATGCCAACTTTGTCTGACCCTATGTTACTGTGTGTATTAGATTATGTAATAAAATGATATTGATGCTCCCTGGAAGAAGTATTTACTGTCCTCTGGGATCTCTGCCCAATTCTACTATAGTTTTATGCTGTGGACTCTGATGAGTATTTTTTTTTTCAGTCTTTCTGTCCTAGTTTTACTATCAAGGAAAGAGGCAGTGACATAGTAATTATCAAGCCCCTTCTTTCAGGAGAATACTTTATAGGACAATTGTGGTCTTCTATAATGATCAGCTCATGCACCTCTTTGGAACTCTTAAGAAAACTATCATGGACTCTTTCTCCCCAGAATTGAACTTATACATATATTTTATACCATTCAAAATGTCTGTACCATTTTAGGGGATTCTAAAACAGGCCAGTACTGTGTGATCCAGCAATTCCATTCCTAGGTATATGTCCAAACGAATTGAAAGCAAGTTCTTGAAGAGATATTTGTACACCAGTGTTCATAGTAGCATTAGTCAAGATACCCAAAAGGTAGAAACAACCCAAGTGTCCATCGACAGATGAATGGATAAACAAAATGTAGCATATACATATAATTGAGTAATGAGGAATGAAATTCTGGTACATGCTACAACATGAATAAACTTTGAAGACATTATGTTAAGAGTAATAAGTCAGATACTAAAGGACAAATATTGTATGATTCCACTTATTTAAAGTACCTAGAATAAGCAAATTCACAGTAACAGAAAGTAGAGCAGGGGTTACCAGGGTTTGGAGGGAGTAGGAATGGGGAATTATTGTTTAATGGGTACAGAGTTTCTGTTTGGAATGATAAAAAAAAGTTCTGGGAATGGATAGTGGTGATGACTGTACTTGATACCACTGAATTGCATACTTTAAAATTGTTAAAATGATAAATTTTATGTTATGTATATTTTACCATAATTAAAAAAAAAAAATCACGTTGAAAAGAGCCTGGACGTGAGAGCCTGATAAGCCTGGCTGGGTTCCAATTCCAGGTCTACCAGTTACCAGCTGTTTATGACTTTGGGTAAACTACTTAGTGTCTCAGAATGTCATTTTCCCTACTTATAAAGTTGGGAATAAACTACCGACCTTAGAGGATTGTTGTGGAAATTAATGTGATTAGCCTGCCACATATAGCCACTATTTTAAAAGGTAAAGAAAACTAGTATATATTAAGCAAACAAAATCCAGTGGACTGTGTTAAGAATAAAGTACCACGTTACATAATTGCTTTTTGCCTCTAGGAAAAAAGAATATTAACACAGAATAATACAGGAGGGCAGCAACTGAGTCTATGGAGCTGCCCCAGGAGCCAGAGCTGTCATATCCCCTCCTCTTCCACCTCCTGTGGCAAACAGTAAAGGCCTTTCGTACAGTTAAAGAAAAAATTGAATAATACAAAGCAGGTAGGATTTTAGCATTGAAGAAACAGAGGTACAGGACTTGCTCGAGCTTTCCAGTGACTAGAAGGACAGAAAGAACACAAAATTACCCTTGCCTAAGACTGAGGTTTATTTCTGTTTCTGCTTAAATTGTTTTTAGATTCTCTAGGTTTTCCTCATTTTTGTAAACTGTTGGGGATTTTCTGCAGTATAGGTTTTAAGTCTTTACAGTGTGTCTTGATATAGATTTGAAAACACAAATCCATATTCAAACCTATGCATGCAAACACACACTCTACAGAGCAATGCCATATTTATCTGGAGATCAGACATCCTACAATATTAACTCTTTGGGACATAACCATTTTTGCAGAAGCATGCCCCAAAGCCCTCCATGTAGCAAATACCAGATATAAAGTCTTTGCTGAGAAGTGTCATGACCCCGCGCAGACGACTGTATAGAAACAACAACAGACAAACAGCAGGCAAAGTTAAGAGTGACAGCAGAGAAGGAAGCAGGAAGATAGCTAATGCCCGTATAAGCCTGGCTGGAGGCTGGCAACATGAGTAACCGCTGAGCCTGCCACATTCAGAAAAGGTTAAATTTCATTCCATTTGCTCTGCTTAGGAAAATGGGGGTATGTGCAGAATATTTTTAAATTGCATCCAAAATGATAAAAGTTTAATGCTTAAAGAGGTAGAATCTGTTATTTGCAGTACTCATTATGGAGTGAAGTGTTGCTATTTATTAATATGCTCTGTTTATACTGAGACATAAATAGCTAAATTTTATCCATTTTGTCACCTAATTCTTTCTAAAATCTAGCTATTTCTTTCAGTCTCCAGCACTTGACACAATGCCTGCCTCACAGTGGGCACTCAGTATTTATTGAAAGAAGAAAGAATGAATGAATGAGCGGGGAAGTGAAGGAATGAAACTACCTATAACATTTGCATGCCTGCATGACGTGTATTACCTGTGCGTGAATAAAGACATCCAAGTTTAAACTCACCCTTTTCTCCTTTCCAGAGCAGAGACCATTCTCCTGGGACCATTCCTAAGAAAGAAACACCCACACTGTGACATATGCCACTGCCACCGCCACTGCCACCTCTGCCTCCGCCTCCCCCCCCATCAGCGCCCCCGGTAAGACCTGGGTTTTTCTTTTTCAGTCTGGTTTACTTGAATACACTTGAGCAGGTTTTAAATGTTCAGAATCAGCCACCACCCAGCTCCGCTATGGCAGGTGGCATCTTTGGTAGCTGGCTCTACGGCTCCAGGGTCTAATGCCAAACCAGCCTGGCCAGGTATTTCCCTTCCCGTTCTGTGGCAGCTCCTACCCTCTACCTCAGCGTCGTCTACGTGATTTCTCTTCTAATTCCTGCTGCTCGATACAGGCTTCCCAGAGTCTCCCTAATCGACTCTTCCATCTCACGGGAAACCTCAGAGGGGAGGCCACGCTGAAGTGCATAGCCAAGGAGGCGTGTGCTCAGAGTCAAGTTCCAGTGTGTGATCTGGATGGTGCTAACAGTAGCTTGGGCTTCAGTTGCCAGGTTCTGGGACCAAGTAAGAGGAGTGTCATATGAAATGCACAACAAAATATAAATCTCTAAATGAAATCTCCCTATCTACACAAGACTGAATTCAGTCTATTTCGCTTTGCATTGTCTCTCTTGGTTTAATAGTTTGGTTTGGGCTTAGGAGAGGCCCAGAGAGTGGTTATTTTGTTTTAGGACAGGGCTTCTCACCCTTAACACCACTGACACTTGGGGCCAGGAATAGAGCCTTACCCGCTATCCTGCCGCTAGGGTGCACACCTCTCCACAGATGCGTGGATGACATGACCGCGGGAGTATAGGTTATGAAAGGAGGGTCTGAGGCCCTGCTGCACGGTCACCAGCCTTGGTGAGAACGAGGGTATGCTTGAGGTCATATGTCACCTCCATGACATTAACGTGGCACACTGACCGTTTCTGAAGCGCTGGGGCATACACCTTCCTGAAACTTGGCCCTTGCCCTTGAAGAGAGTGGAAGGAAAGCACGTGATGTGAGTTCCACCTGAAAGCTCTCTGGCCAATATATAGAAAGAATAGGAATCAGTACTGAATTTCCACTGCCGAATTTGACACAAAGAAGGCATGGAGATGAACAGTTTATAAGTGAAAGAAGCATACATGAAACTATAATGTGGGTCTCACACAGACTTGCTGGGCCTGAAGAAGCACAACTTAGAGTAACTCCCAGTACCACAGTATGCCCATAAACTTAGCCAGAATAAATAAACTTATCAAAACCCATATTGTTGGAGACTTGGGGAAATAAACTCTTTTAAACATTGCTGGTGACATACCTGGGACTCAACAAATGTTGAATGAGTCTTTCCGGAGTGTTCTCTGACAAAAAACAATAAGCCTGAATATATCACTTTTTCCCCTGGTAATCAAGTAGTTTTATTTTTGAGACTGACTTAAGAATTTAACCCTAAAGGAACCAAAAAAGAATTTGTACAGTATGTGCACAGCAACGCTATTTATTCTAGAGAAAAATTAGATCTTAAACGGTTTATGAGAACTAAATGAACTGTACTGTCATGCTGTTAATTAAAAATTGCATTATGTTAAAGTGTTAATTAAAAATTACATTTATAACTGTGCTGGTAATGGAAAGTAGATATGGAATGATGAATTAAAAACAATGCACGTTTTGTGCATCATGAAATCAGCTATATATGTAATAAATAGGAAAGACCAGAAAAGAATTTTGAATGCTGATAATAAAATTTTAAATTTCATTAGGGAGTCTTTTTCTTTTAATATGCTTAAGTTCATAATAAACAAAAATAATTCTGCATTTGGATAATTCTTGCATTCCCTCTCCCATTCCTAAATTTTTTTTTTTTTTTTTGCTACCTATCTCATGGAGGAACTCATCAATTTAGGAGGAAAATAACCATGTAAATTTTAATTTATTCTTTTTTATAAATTTATTCATTTATTTATTTTTGGCTGCGTTGGGTCTTCATTGCTGCGTGCGGGCTTTCTCTGGTTGTGGCGAGCGAGGGCTACTCTTCGTTGTGGTGCGCGGGCTTCTCATTGCGGTGGCTTCTCTTTGTTGCGGAGCATGGGCTCTAGGCATGTGGGCTTCAGTAGTTGTGGCACATGGGCTCAGTAGTTGTGGCTCGTGGGGTTTAGTTGCTCCGCAACACGTGGGATCTTCCTGGACCAGGGCTTGAACCCATGTCCCCTGCCTTGGCAGGCGGATTCTTAACAACTGCGCCACCAGGGAAGTCCTTTAATATTTTTTTAAGACACATTTTTCTACAATCTGGGAAAAATATTTACAGTGCATATTATAGGCAAAGAATGAACAACCTGAGCATATAAAGAGATCTTAGGGATCAATATGGAAAGGATGAGTAGAAAATGGGCCCAAGATATGACCAGGCAGAAGAAATACAAATGTTTCAACCTCACTATAATTGAATAAACACAAATTAAAATAATGAGAAATCATTTTCATCTATCAGTTTGGTGGTGGTACTTTTTAAATGTTGCCTGGAGTGTTAGGAACCAGGCACTTATAACATTTTTTTTAGTGGTTGATTTATTTATTTACTGCTACAGGCACATCCATTGCCCCCTTCCCATTTACCCACCCCCACCGTACACAAGGTTGGATGATTTGATTTAAGAAGTCTGTGGCATGGTGGATGGGCTTTAGGTTCTTTTGGTTCTAACACTTATTTTCCAGGTGACCTATATAGTCATTTATTATACCAGGCACTTATACCTCTTAATAGGAGCAAATACTGGTATAATCCCCTAAAACACAATTTGTTAATATGGATTAAGTCCCCTTAAAAAGTGGTTGTACTCAATGACCTAGTTTCACTTCAAGTAATTTCCTTTCAGTAACTCATCATAGTGTACAGAAATATTTAGCTATAGATTATTAGTGAGAGCATTATTGTGATAGCAACCAAAAAAAAAAAAGAAAGGAAACAATCTAAATATTTAAAACCAGAAGATTCAATAAAAAATGATAATGTAATCCACAAAACAGTATTCTAGGTAGCACTGAAAATCATATCAAAATTATTTTGTAACTCCCAGTATAATAATTGATTCAGGCAAGGATCATTCATGAAACCTAAAACAACTTAGGGAAATGTTTTGGAGAACAGGATGTTCACAGGATCCCAAGTGTCAGCCACAGATTACTTCTAATTACAAAGGGGAAAATGTACCTTTACCAGGGACCAAAGTGTCGCCTGTCATAGAATGACCTTTACACAGCCTTTTGCTGTGATGCAACAAGAAATACATAGCATCACCCTGCAGTGACCTGCCAAAAATTAGTGTTCTTTGAGCAAGCAACTAGGCACATCCAGAATGTGGGACCTTCTACGACAGAGGTTGGCAAACTAGAGCAGAGCCCACGGTCCAGTTTTGGTACAGCCCTCGAGCTAAGAATGGTTTTTACATTTTCAAGTGATTGAAAACAATCAAAAGAAAAATAATATTTTGTGCATATGAAAAATATATGAAATTCAAATTTTAGTCCATAAACAAAGTTTATTGGACGACAGCAATGCTTATTCATTTGCATATTGTCTCTGGCTGCTTTTATGTTACAGTGACAGAGCACCAATTAAACAACTTGTCTCCCCCCAAAGAAGAATTCTTTTCATCTCACTAGTTGACCTGTGTTTTAAAAATTATATTCAATTATTATTATTTTGTTTTGAATTTCATCAATAAAAATTTTGTGGAAATTTGTTTTCTTTTTTGCTATATCATACTTACAGAACATCCATGATTTTGCCTCTTGGCCCACAAGGCCTAAAATACTTACTATCTGGCCCTTTACGGAAGAAGTTTTGCCAACGTGTCCTACAGGATAGCTGGCTTCATTCAGCCTTCCTTTTGTCACCAGCAGCCAGTGATCTTGGTACACTTGCATCAGATCATGTCCCCTTCCCCATCACTTTTCAAGGGCTTCCCATCCCCCTCTTAACTGTGGGCTGCTCCACTTGCATGACCCGGCCCCTGCCTACCTCTCAGACCTCATATGGTGCCCCTCTCCCCATGTGTTCTACTTCAGGACTTTAGCATGTCTGTTCCTTCTGCTTGGAAAGCTCTTTCTGCTCAGCTCAGCCCAGATGCCCCTTCCTTGAAGCATCATTTCCTCACACCCCACACTGGCATTCATAACATACTTTTAAACCCCTCCTTCATAGCAGTTATCAGTTTTTCAGTTAGTTTTTATTTGACTGGGGTCCACATTTTCTGTTTTGTGGTCTTCTGTCCCTAGTGCCTGGCTCACAATAGCTACTCATTGAATGAATGGATGGATGCATGCATGACTGAATGAATATCTGTGTAAACAGCATTAGGAAATGGAGTTAAACTGTTCATAAGCAGTGTTCAGAACTTTAAACATCTACGCTTATGGACCAGCATGGCAGATTTTATTATGTGTAATCTTTGCAAGGAGGGGGCATTTTGTGTGATATGTCTGATCACGCTTCACCTTAGCTCTGGAAGATCTGGGGATTAGACCAAGGCCAAAAGTTTTTTGATTTTTCCCTCCTAACATCTCACCTTTCCCCTTCCTGCCCCTCCCATTCCTTGTCTCCTTCTCTCCCTGATGTGCATCCTTTGGAACCAAGAAAAGGGCTGATGGGCCTTGCTGAAGTTCTGAAGCAGGCTCTGAGTGAAAGCCAGACAGCCCTCGTCATCTAGTTTCCCTTCTTTTCTTGCCCCTATTTCCCTGTCTTTTGAGCACTACTCCTTTGTCTCATCCCTTTGAAATCCAGAAACCATATAAAAATTGCCCACATGGTACATTGGTCCACTTATAATGAAATTATTGTTGCTTTGGTTACACGATGTAACTTTTTAAAAAAATCTAAAGAAAATACAATGGATTTGATTTTTGAAACGCAGCAAAATTTTTACTGAGCTTTTGTTTTCAAATCTTCTTTGGCCCCTTGGTAGTGTCCAAGACGTGAGAAGGAACTCCTTGAGGGCCTGTGATTTCTCTTCTTTTTTGCCCCAATTGTGTAACATTGTCTACAAAAGAGGAAGGGACTATATGGGTCTCTGACCAGATGATAAACACTTTGGAGTTGGGTTGCCTAGGCA